CTGATTGCCAAATAGATTGTGTCGTTGCGATCAGGACGTCGAATTCTGCTAGGTCGAAGCCCCTCGCAATTGAATCAGATGAGATCAGTCGAAAGGGACGACTGACACCCGAAATTAAAGCGTGAGGCTGATCAAACGATGTCGGATCAACAAACGGACTTCGTCATTGTATTCAGAACATTGCAAATACTAAAAAATTGTATTTTATTTGTTCAATTTGGATCATCTTAATGAGTGACATAAATTTCAAAACAACACATATTTCGAGGAAATCAGGCCTCGACGTCGCTCAGATGACGTCCGATCATGAAACAGACTATGCCAATGTGTTTGGAACGTCCTCGACATTCAAAATAAATATCTTTTGTGATTAATTGGGATCAATCATAATGGTGACATGGATCCCAAGGTAATAACACGCATATCGAGAAATTTGGCCCTCGATGTCGCCCAAACAATTTCAGATCGACAAACAGACAGTGCCATTACATCCGAAACGTCGTCTACATTCAGAAAATATATTTTATTTAATATAAATTTGAATCATTTGAGATGGTGACAAATTTCTAAGCAATTCAAATATGATATAAAGGCCTGTGCTACGGCGGAAATGAGGCCTCGAAGATGCTCGGACGACGTCCGATTGACAAACGAATAGCACCATTGCATCCGAAACGTCATCGACATTCAGGATATACATTTTATTTAATAAATTTGGATGATCAGAGATGGTGGTGAATTTCTAAGCGATGCAAATATAATATAAAGGCCTGCGCTACGACAAAAATGAGGCCTCGAAGATGCCCAAATGACGTTCGATTGATGAACGGACAGCGTCATTGCGTCCGGAACATCCCCGACATTCGGAATATACATTTTATTTAATAAATTTAGATCGTCTGAAGTGTTTAAAAATTTCAAAGGCGGCTCAAACATGATGCGAAGGCCTGCGTTACGACGGAAACAAGGCCTCGAAGATTCTCGGACGATGTCCGATCAACAAAAGGACAGCACCATTACGTCCGGAACGTCATCAACATTCAGAAAATATATTTTATTTGATAAATTTGGATCATCTGAGATGGTGGTTAATTTTTAGGCGAAACAAATATTATATGAAGGCTTGAGTCACAAAGGAAACGAGGCCTCGAAGACACTCGGACGATGTCTGATCGATAAACGGACAGCGCCATTGCATCCAGAACATCTCCGATATTCAGAATATACATTTTATTTAATTGAATTGGATCGTTTAAGGTGGTGTCTTAAATTTTAAAGACAATTCAAATATGTTGTAAAGGAACGCATTACGAGGGAAATTAGCCTCGTCAGTGACGAAATGACGTCCGATTTCAAAGTGGATGGTGTCGTTGCGTCCGAAACGTCGTCGGCATTAAAAATCTACATTTTATTTGATTAAATTGGATCATTTGTGGTAAGGTCGCAAATTTTAAAGGCGACTCAAATATGTTTCAAAGGCATGCGCTACGAAGGAAACGATGCCTCGTCGCCACCCAAACGACGTCCGATCGATGAACGGACAACGCCATTGCATCCAAAACATCGCCAACACTCAGAATATACATTTTATTTGATCAAATTTGATGGTTTGAGGTGGTGTCGTAAATTTCAAAGGAGATTTGGATATGTCGCGAAGGCATGTGTTACGAAGGAAATGAGGTCTCGACGATGATCAAATGACCTCCGATCGATGAACGGACTGCTTCGTTGCGACCGGGACATCGTCAATACCCTAAATGTATTACCAATTTATCTAATGTCTATGTTCGACAAACTCGACACGTTAAACGAAGCAAAATATGCGTAAATCGAGATGGAACGCAAATCGGAGCAGCTTTGACTCGGCTTATGTGGTCCAGTCATTTTAAAATTAATGCAGTAGAGGATATTTCATGCATATGGAATTTGACTTATAAAAGAAATATTAATAACAAAGCCAAATGATAAAAATATATCAAATCTATTAAATGCTGCATACCTTTTTTTTTTGGAATATGCATACCTTGTTTTGTCAAAACCTCGGATTAAATCCCTGATCAAATCCCGCAAATCCTGCCGGTTGCCTCGAATGGATACGTGGGGCGGTCTTAAGAGGAGAACCAGTGTCGTTTAAGGATGGAAAGATTGTCACTAGAAAGTTCTCACACTCTTCTTCCTCCCATCCAGCCTTCCTCATTCTTCCCGTGAAAGCCTAAACCACTGGCTCTTCCTCCTTCCTTGAACCTGTAAGATCTCACGCCTCTCCACCCTTATACGTTTACAGCCCACCCACGTCAACTGGCCATACCCCATGAGCTCCAACCTAGTCAAGTGCACGGATCTCCCTGCCCGTCCTCCACCTAGCCCTCACAATCTTTGTGAATCCTCACTTGCTGCAGCCGGCTCTACTTCCTACGGTATCAAAATCCAAGCCGCCCACTTCCATTCCCTCATCCGGCTTCAGCTCCTGCAGGAGAACCTCCAAACTGACATATTATCTACTCCGTTTCTCTCTCTCTCTCTGAGGGAAACAGAAATCCGTTTGAGAAACTAGCAGGAAATCTAAATCAAATGTCTGTGAGCATTAGAGGAAGATTAGATCAGCCTTGTTCTCGTACTTGGTTGCCTCCACCTGGACCAGGAACTAATGCTGGAAAGGAAAAGAAGATCTCCTTGGACTTATGCAAGAGGATCTTATAGCTCAAAGAGATGAGATATTTATGCAAAAAGAACTAGAAGAATGGAGTCAAGGACTCTTTTGCGGGATATATCAGAATATATTGAATACCTTTTGCAAAGTTGGAAAGATGATGACAGCAAGTTTTGGAGTATGGTAGGAACATTTCAGAACTTCTTGGGAGTTCAAAGACTTCATCTAAATCTGTAATTGAAAGATCCAATGATTGTTTTGGAGCTTGTTGAGAAACTTAGCAGTCCTAAGGCTGCATGGCAGTTTATGGAGATCTTAGATAAACATTATTTTTCATGGCTTCTGGAACTTCTTGTTGATTGGTTAGCAGAGTATGATGCTATTCTATCTGAAACACAGATGACAACCCATTCCACACAGAATCAGCTTGCTTCCTGATCAAGCCCATTTCCTCCAAACAATCATATAACCCAGCTTATTTTGCAAAAGCCCACTCCAAAATCTAGTCAAACAGCACTCTATTTTACATGTCCAGTCCACTCTAGGCCCATCATACTCTCCAAGCAGCAGCTCTCATACCCAAATTCATAGCAAACCTGCAGCCCAACTCAGCCCCTCTCAGAACCAAATCAAGCCCAAAGTTATTACAGCCGTTCAATCCACTAAAAATCCAAAGGGCAGCACATTCCCCCTCTCAAGGCTCATAACAGCAAGCTTTTGTTTTCATTATTTCATTATAATTGTTTACTAACATTTGCATTAGTTGGTGATCTTTATGTTTGTTATTAGTTTCAGATGTGCATATATATGTAAGGGTTGTGCATTTAGAGTAAAAAAGTAGAACACGAC